AATATATATATATATATATATATATATATATCGGTCTTCTAAAGATCTCTGTTGTGTTGGTTTTCTCCAGTTGAATAGATGTCAACTGTTCTTTCTTATAATTGTAACACTCTTTAATATTTATTTCGTTTGAATGTTTTTTAGTGGCTTTAGTTTCTAGCAGTTTTAAGGTTCTCCACTTTATAGTACATAGTTGTCTGCCTGAGTTGAAATTTTGTGTGCTATATTGCTTGTTTCTAGTTTGTGTCAATTGTTTTCTTCGTACATCTAATTTTGAATTATTTGAAAGATTATGACTCTTTGTTATTTGATAACCTGGTGAATTGCAATTTGCAGGATTCTCTAGGTGGAAATAGCAAAACTGTTATGATCGGTATGCAGTTTTCTGCAAATTATTTGATGGTCTAGTTAAATTTCTGAAATCGCCTATCCTCCTTATGATTCATTTCTCTAAACATCCACACTAAGTCTCCATGGATCTTTTGCTCCTGTTACAGCTTGTGTTAGCCCTGCTGACACAAATGCTGAAGAAACACTAAATACATTGAAGTATGCAAATCGTGCTCGTAATATTCAGAACAAGGCAATTGTGAGTTTGTACCTCACATCATAAAGCTTAATTTTCATATACTTTTGTGGTCTATACTTGTGGTTTGAATGATTATGTTGTGGTGTGTAAAGATAAATCGTGATCCTATGGTGGCTCAAATGCAACGAATGCGCCTTCAGCTAGAACAGTTACAGGCCGAGTTGCTTTATTCTCGTGGAGAAGGAGTTCCATTTGAGGAACTGCAGGTATAAACATTTCCGATTTCTAGATATTATTATGTTCGCTATTTATTAATTTAAAAAATAAATGAATTTGGGGAGACTTTCAATTTCAGGTTCTTCGACATAAAATCTCTGTCCTCGAGGTAAGCAATACAGAATTGCAGCAAGAGCTTCAAGAGACTCGCATAACATGTGATCGTTTAGCTCGGAATGCCATTGATGCCCAAGTTAGTATTCTTTAACTTTGGGCTAAAGTAAATAACAACCACTTTCTTGTTTGTTGTTGACTCAACAGTACAAATTGTATGTGGATTCATGAGAAATAGTTAAAAATAATTCATAATCTCAACTGGAAGGTAGGTGGTGGAAGATGACCTCTTGTTAGCCTTGTTTGTTTGTGAACCTATTGGTTCCTTTTGCTTTGTGACGGACGGTTTGGAAGGAAGTGAATAACTTCATGAAATCTAAGAAAATAATCAAAATTGTTACAGTCACCATGAGGATAAAGGCTTCTGGCTGTAACACTAAGGAGTAAATATATAAGCTGTGGTTATTCCTTCTGGGTACACATCATGAAGAGAAAATAAAAAGTAGAAAAACTTGCCAGAAAACATTTTCCATGTATTTAAAATGTCATGTATGTGCATTGGCCAGGATGGAAACTTAGATGTTCTAGCATAAGTAGTGTTGGAAGTCACTGGACCCGAAAGCCACAATAATTTATTGTCCAGTTAGTCTCCAAGTTGAGAACCTTGGGTTGGTGTCATTTTGCTAATGGCCTATTGAAGGTGTAGTGTATTTTATTGTATCTAATGGTTTTAAAATTTATTAGGAAAAATAAAGTCAAAGAGAGTTATTTATGCTGACCACCATCCTAGCTGTTTGTTTTTCATTTGGAAGCTTGCTTTTTCTTCGCCTTCCATTTGTGATTTCTTGTCGTAAAGGCATTTGTTGACATTCGGACCTTTATGTAGCAGAGTACTTGATTTCATTGGACTTGCATTAATAAGACAACAAATTTTTTTTTATCGTGTTTTCTCTTTTTATTTTATGATTATATGTTCCTGCTATGTGAGGCACTAGAGTCTATACCCGTGGAAAGTAGCTAAAATCATGGAAGTTGTATGCATGTTTGTCGATGGAGTGTCTACTGCCTTTTTACCACATGATTAGGGCTGCTAATAATTTTATGTTTAAAAAAAAAGTAATTGAACAAAAAAAATTTCCACCCCTAAGTGGGCTGCAGGCCCTGGGCGACCGACTAGGGCTGGGCACTAGGCATGCACCTAGGCGGGTTCTGTACCGCCTAGGCAGTCGCCCAGTTTGACTGCCTAGGCCTAGGCGCATCGCCCAGGCCTTCTGGACCGCTTAGGCATTGGGCGGTCCGCTTTTTTGAACACTGGGTATGTGTCAATTTAGTCAAGTTGTATGAAAAATGAAACCTAAGGGAACATACTGAACGTAGAAATACATATCATCGGATTTAAGGATGTTTTTTAGGTTCATTTGAAACCTAAACCCACAAGAATTCATTTTAGAGATAAAGAAACTTCAAAGAAACTAAATTTTGTGATTTTCATTGCATCGAAGTGTTTCTCAAAATTACGAAAAACGGATCCTAACATCACCCAGGTAGATTAGATTTAGTTTTGGAGTTTTATAATCCTATTACAAGACGTTTTTTATTATTTTAGTACCTGAAAACATCTCAAAGGTGGGAGTTTGGAGTTCAAGCAATCAAAGTAAGTGTAAAACTTTATTTTTTAGATTGCTTGTTTTATTTTGAGATGTCTTCTTCAAGATCTAGTCGAAGTAGAGATTCTGGTTGGAAATATGGATATAACCTGAATCTAAATGACAAAAAAGTGTATTAGATGCAATTATTGTAAAAAATATACACAAGGGGGCATAAACCGGTTTAAGAAACATCTTGCCGGTATTAAGGGGGATGTTGCCCCTTGTAAAAATGTTCATAAAGCTATCAGAGACGAGATTAAGCAATATATGAGTTCTGTAAAGCAAAATCATGAATAAAATTCTTTTCATTTGAATGGATCTATTTCTGCTTCTTCTAGAAGAAGTGATCCGGGTTAGAAGTATGGTTTTAATCCAAAACCAAACGATAAAAATTGTATAAGGTGTAATTTTTGTGAAAAGGATACCAATGGGGGTATTAACCGATTCAAGAAACACTTTACTGGTATTAAAGGGAATGTTGCTTGTAAAAAGATTTCTAAAGTTATTCGGGATGAGATTAGATAATTTCTTATTTTAAAAGAATCAGAAAATGATGAAAATGAGCCTTGTTCTATGGAAATATTTTCTCCAGGTTCTTCTAGAAGTGGTGATCCTGGTTGGAAGTATGGTTATAATCTGAATCCGAATGACAAAAATCGTATTAAATGTAATTATTGTGGAAAGGATACTAATGGGGGCATTTACCGGTTTAAAAACATCTTGCCGGTATTAAAGGGGATGTTGCCCCATGTAAAAATGTTCCTGAGACTATCAGGAAAGAGATTATACAATATTTGTGTTTAGAGAAGCACAAAAAGATAGAAAAGGGTAGAGCAGCCAAGACTCCTAGGACCTCACTTGCACATACTAGTAAGAGGGAGGTAGAAAAATAAGTGGAGGAAGATGCAGATTCAGAAGAAACAAAGGAGAATGAGCATTATATCGAAGAGGGAGATGACTCTGATGATAATGGCCTCGAATCAGATGCATATGATGAGGCTTACGCTATTCTTTCTGATGATTATGATGTTGACTGAAGACTCTTCGTGTTGAGTGTTGACTGTTGGGTGTTGACTATTGTGTCCTAGACTGTAGTTTGTTCTGAATTTCTGTATATTTTCTTTTTCTTATTTTTAGTTTCTAGTTCTGCTATGTAACTTTTATGTGTACAGTCTACAGTATATCAGACAATCAGTGTATGCTTGTATGGTTTTACTATTTTAGGCTTTTAGCATTATATGAAAATATGGATTATGGTCTTATGGATTTTCAAAATTCTTATGAATTATGGTCTTATGGATTATCAGAACCAGACTATCTTTTTTTCTTTTTCAATTGGGCTGCCAAGGTTCTGGACTCCCGCCTAGGTGCTGGGCGGCTTGGACCCCATGGCCACTTGGGTGCCGCCTAGCGCTTTTTGAAACTATGCACATACCTCTTTTGGACTCTTAACATTGACACAAACCGCTCCATGTCCATGCTATGTTTTTTTCATATGCTTTTGAATATTACTTAACTATTAAACAAGGTGGCTTAATCCTTATGCCTGTTTTTTGACTAGGCTTACCTATTTTACAGTTTCATGAAAACTTTCAATTCCACTTGAAACTTATCGTGCCCGTGCCGATTTGATGAATTAGGTAGAGAAAGATCAGCTACTTGTGAAAATGGAGTCAGTTCGTAATGGGAAGTCTTGGGACGAGGTAGAAGATGATACCAAAATGCAGGTTTGACTTAATAAGCCTGTTTGTCTCATTTAAGAATGAGTTGTTTATGTTTTGTTGCTAAAAGTTTCATAGAGTCCAGTTCAGCCGGACATTCTTCAAATGGTTTCTTTTAATCATGTCTTTCCATTAATTTTTTTTTTACAGGATTTTGATTTAATGAAGTCCTATGTTGTAAAGATCCAAGAGTTAGAAGGGGAGGTGCAGCGCTCCCAGAGCTTAATGAATTCCCAGAAATTGACAGGTCCTGTCCGCGGTGGCTTTATGGATTGCCTTGAATTAGAAGATGAAAGGTTCCTTCCAAAAGATGCTTTGGACCCAACTGAAATTCCATCTATCTGTGGTTCTAAAAGCAGTGCAGATTCTGGTAAACTCTCACAGCTTCTCTACATCCCAGGCTTTTTGTCAGGGCCCTCTATTCTTTGACTTGTCTGTTATGGTAAACTGTCACCGTCTTTTGTTGGTGATCGAGTATAACTCATTTTAATTTTTCTCGTGATGTGTGATTACTTTATTAGAGAAAATGTTGGATTAGATTGGTTTGCAGAGCCAGATTGTTTTTTTTTTTTTTCAAAACTTGTAATTCATTATTAATTTGGACATAGGCGAAGTAGTAGAGGTCCAGAAGGAATTGGAACATTCAACAATACAGGATACATTGGGCCGTGAACTCCAGGAACTGGACAAACGTCTTGAGCAAAAAGAGGTATTTTTTACCAGTGCCCTTAATAGTTCCAATATATGTATGATGTTCTTCTCTATTGATTGTTTATTATTCCATATTTCTATGTATGCATCAGTCATATAATCATGTTCTTTTATTTCTCTATTAGGGTGCATTTCATGTTTAGATGTCCGAAACTTCTTTCTTCAGCTAATTTATTGGGAATTTTGCATCCTGGATTCATTTAGATTTGTTGTATCATCCATTAGTTTGAGTCCTGTAGATTTACAGTTTGATTAATCAATGTAACCTAATTGTTGCGAAATTATTATTGTAATTTACTTCAGGTCCAGTACTCGATGGATTCTTTAAACTCATAGGCTAGATTCTGATTATTATTTATTTTTTATTTTTTCTATAGTTTTCTTTGTGTTTCTTTTCTTTTGACAGATATAGGTGTTCGTTTTCATGTAAAAGTAGATCTGATTTAAAAATATGAGACCCTTCTTTGTTATTTTGTGGAGGATGAGATTGATGACCTCACATTAGTCTTCTACTAGCAATGCTAGCTTTTCAAAATAGAATAGTTTATCCTGGAAATGGGGAATTTTTTGCTTATTGTCTTTCTATTGGGCATTTTTCTTGTACCCAACTTGAGAGAAAGTTCTTTAACCTTAGGATGTTCATACTCGGTTTATATGAGTCATCAATATAAGGTTTTGTTCTGATTTATCCTGTTCTCTTCCGTATCTCTGTGGGCATTCATCTTTCTTGATTGGTATGACATATTTCTATTATCATATTGTAACCTATTTTTCATGTTGTAGGCTGAAATGAAACTCTTTGCTAAGGCTGATACAACAGTACTTAAGCAGCATTATGAGAAAAAATTAATGGAGTTAGAGCACGAGAAAAAGGCCTTAATGGTAAATTTTATTTTTCTAAATGGTTTAATGAAAAATTGAATTTAATAATATTTTGCTTTTTCTTTCTTTAATTGTTGTCTGGTATTTGACAGAATGAGATGGAGCATTTGAGATCTGAGCTGGCAAATATGTCATCAGCTTCTGATGACAATACCCAAAAGTTGAAGGAAGAATATCTTCAAAAGCTGAATAGACTCGAAGTTCAGGTTAGTCGCATGTGCCATAAGCTATTCTCCTAAAGGTTTATGGAATATGAATAGTGGCAGTATTGCTGCAAAGCATTTGAATAATATGTCATCTTGCAGGTCATGGAATTGAAAAAAAAGCAAGAGGCCCAATCTCAACTTTTAAGGCAAAAGCAAAAAAGTGATGAAGCTGCAAAGCGTTTGCAAGAAGAAATTCAAAGAATAAAGTCACAAAAGGTCTTCTCTTCTTAAGCTTGCTGTTATAGTTAACTTCTGTTATTCTCTTTAATCCATAGATATGACTGGGAAATATTATATTACTTTGTAGGTTCAACTTCAACATAAGATCAAGCAAGAGTCTGAGCAGTTCCGAATGTGGAAAGCTTCAAGGGAGAAGGAAGTTTTGCAGGTTCATATTTTTTTTCTCATATGATCAATTTATTTGTGGCTTTCCTATTTCGTTTCGCATTCATGCATTGTTGTAATCTCCTGTTTTTTTCTCCCCCTCAATTAACAGCTAAAGAAGGAAGGGAGGAGAAATGAGTATGAGATGCATAAATTGTTAGCTTTGAACCAAAGACAGAAAATGGTAGGTGCAGTAAGTGCATAGAATTTTATAAATTCGTTCACCCCATCATTTAGTTTGAGTTTGACATTTGTACTTCATTATTGGCTCCATTAAGGTTCTCCAACGAAAGACTGAAGAGGCTTCAATGGCCACAAAGCGGCTGAAGGAGCTATTGGAGGCCAGGAAGGCTTCTTCTCGAGAAGTTGGTATGTCTGATCTTTAGTTGAGTAAAACGGAATGGGCTTTATGCCCTTGTTTCCTTAGTCTTTGTATCCTCACATAACTTTGCTTTTTTTTTCAGGTGGTGGAAATGGGAATGGTCCTGGAGCTCAGGTGTGTTAGTTGAGATTGCAAAATAAACTCGATGATTACTCATTACAAAAACCGCGAATAATTATAAAAACAAAAATGCCAAACTACTTTTTTTTTCTTTCTTACAAATTAAGGTAATGATACTTAGCTCAAAATATAACTAAGCAAGTTAGTTAAGCCTAGATTAAGATATATTTGAGGGTGTTGGTTATTTGGATGTTATATATCTCTAGGAGGTTGAGTCACAACAAAGGTTTAGGTAAAGTAGCCTTGTGCATGTGCAGGCCCCCCAGGGTAATGTGGGGCTTTTTATTGTAATTTCTGGTTCCCTACTTTTCTGCATCCATTACTTCTCTTTCTTGTATTCACTGATCTTCTTATCCTTTAGAGAAGCTACAAAGGTTAACTTTTGAAGAGAATAAAGGATTCATAAGATTGTTTATAATGTTTGTTTACTTTAGGGGCACAATTTTAATGTAGGATAATGATATTGTGAACTCTAGGGTGGCGCTCTAGCAGTAACCCAAGGCTGTTGGCATTCCAAACCCTCGTCTAATAGTCCTTACTGTCCTCCTGGAAGACACGATATAAATGGTTTTGATTATGCTTTTCTATTTCTCTTCAAAAGCTTTTTTGATTATCCATTGGGATGGAAGGAGACAATTTACAAACGTTGAAGGAAAACTGAAAAACATTTGGATGGTTTTTGGGTGAATGACTGGTATAATGTTGGCCTCTGGCTGTTGAAATTCTTATCCATTAATATTATGTGTTAGTTTGGTCTTTCAGGTAAACGAGAAGGCACTGCGACAAGCAATTGAGCACGAACTGGAGGTTATGGTCCATGTGCATGAAGTTCGAACTGAATATACACGGCAAATGGAAGCGTATGTTCTCACACATCTTTAGTGCTCATTCAAATTATTGTCATTCTTATGAGCTGTCTTTTACTACCTGGACGTAGGTAATGATCTGCAACATCCATGGTTTTGAAATACGAGAGTGCACTAGAATAAATGGCTTCGAAAGCCATATCCTTCTGGGTAATCCATTCCAATGAAATCATGGATGGTGATGGACAGAGAGGACTCTCCCTTGCATTGGGATCATTTCCAAGTTCTGATAGTTGCGACAGTCGATTGGATTATTTATGCTCTTTCGGGAATAGTTCTTTGCTATTACTTTGTTGGTCCAATCAGTTTTTGAAAGGAGCTTTTTTCTAGCATTGTAGTGCCCCTACTGAGTTAGTGCTAAAAATTTTCCTGAATCCCTGCTGTGGTAATTGTTTTTTCTCTTAATATTTTCCCTACTCCTGAATTTTGTTTCTTGTTTCCAGGAGGGCTGCCATGGCCAAGGAGCATGCTAGGTTAGAGGAAGAGGCTGAGACCTTAAAGCAGAATCTGATGAGGTGATTTATGTTTGTCTTTCTGCTAGTTCAATCCAGAATTAAATTCTCTCTCTCTCTCTGTGAGAGATGGAGAGAGTGAGAGAGAGAGATTACTAGTAATTTAATTGGAGAAAAGATTGTCTCCTTAGCAGTGATTGTCCTCAAGCAATGTCACCCGGTGCAAGAACTTCGAGGATTTTAGCACTCGAGAATATGTTGACTACATCATCCAGTACTCTTGTGGCTATGGCATCGCAGTTATCAGAAGCTGAGGAGCGGGAGCGTGTTTTCGGAGGCCGTGGTCGTTGGAATCAAGTTCGCTCATTGGGTGATGCAAAGAACCTGCTGAATTATTTGTTCAATATTGCTTCTTCTGCAAGGTAAATTAAAATTTGTATGTACAAAGGAAATTTGCATATATCTGTGTGTATGGTTTCCTACTATTGGCAATGGCTTTATCATAGCTTGAAGTATGGTTGGAATGGCCATG